CACAAAGAAAAAACATGTCCAGATGACCTGACTGAAAAATGTTGGATTGTATACCTGGATTATTGAGCATAGACTTTGTTGTTACCTTAACATATACCTATATATAAATACTAAAATAAACTACTACTTACTACTACTACTTGTGTACATAATTTCATTCCATCTCGTACTTCATGATATGGTAATGCCAATAAAGTTTACTTGAACTTGAACTACTGTATCCTTACTTTGTGGTTTTTCATTGGTCGTGGGTGGGCGTGGTCCCTAACACCTGCGATAAACGAGGGACTACTGTATTTGTGTTAAATGCAAAGAATTATTCACACTTGTGAGTTCAAAGGCATTATGACCTTACCAACATGTTTTAGTTTGACTTCTGGCTCATGAGACCTTTAGTTCTAGCTTCTGTTCTGAGTACTCGGGTGGTTGTGGGTCATGAAGCCACGCCAGGCGTTTGGCTTTGGGTTTGTGCACGCTCTGAGTACAAGCGCCTCTGAGAGGTGGATGGTCTGAATCTGCACGAATCACGAGCACCAAGGTTTGTGAACACCATGCTCTGTTTGGTCTGGGCCGCAATTTCTGCTGCAGCCCCTTTGAGTTCTGTTGGACCTGCGAGCTGCTATATGGTATGAAAACCTTCTATTTCTTTTTAATAAATCACAACAAAAGACAGTCGACTTGTTTAAATCTTGAGTCCAGCATTTTTTCTGAAAATTCACTGCAGTTAAAATATGTAAAATCGGAACTCTAAGTGGAACATTTTGTAGTAAAATATAAAAAAAATCATAAAACTTAACTATGATTATGTAAAAAAAGAATAAACATTAGCAAAAGTATCAAAATGCCACATTAGTCCTACAAAAGTCCAACTTTCAGTGACCTGTTTAGGTTTTAACTGAAGTTTCTGCTCTGAAGTCTGAACTACAGAGCTCCAAACGGCGCTGGATCTGAACAAAGCCCCATCGTTATCCACGGAGAACATTTACCAGGTTTTTATTTATTTACAAATGTCCTCTATTTTGTACCGTTACTAAAAGTCAGAGCACAAAATTTTTAAATGAGTTGGACTTTCTTTATGTTTAAGGAAGAAGAAACAATCCTGACACAAATAAAAGAACAATAGGCAAATACAGTGAGGAATGTAAGTATTTGAACACCCGGCGACTTTGCAATTTCTCCCACTTAGAAATCATGGAGGGTCTGAAATGCTCATCTTACGTGCATGTCCACTGTGAGAGACATAATCTAAAAAATAAAAAAAAGTCTGGAAATCACAATGTATGATTTTTTAAATAATTTATTTGTGTGTTACTGCTGCAAATAAGCATTTGAACACCTGCCAATCAGTTCTGGCCCTCAAAGACCTGTTAGTCCTCCTCTATAACGTCCTCCTCCACTCCACTGATTATTCTAAATTAGAAGCACCAGTTTGAGGTCAGTAGTTGCATAAAGACACCGGTCCACCTCACACAATCAGTAAGACTCAAACTACTAACATGGCTAAGACCAAAGAGCTGTCCAAAGACACCAGAGACAAAATTGTAGACCTCCACAAGGCTGGAAAGGGCTACGGGACAACTGTCAAGCAGCTTGGTGAAAAAAGATCAAGTGTTGGAGCAATTATTAGAAAATGGAAGAAGCTAAACATGACTGTCAATCTCCCTCGGACTGGGGCTCCATGCAAGATCTCACCTCGTGGCGTATCAATGATCCTAAGAAAGGTGAGGAATCAGCCCAGAACTACACGGGAGGAGCTGGTCAGTGACCTGAAGAGAGCTGGCACCACTGTTTCCAAGGTTACTGTGGGTAATACACTAAGACGTCATAGTTTAAAATCATGCATGGCACAGAAGGTTCTCCTGCTTAAATCAGCACACGTCCAGGCCCGTCTGAAGTTTGCCCATGACCATTTGGATGATCCAGAGGAGTCATGGGAGAAATTATGTGGTCAGATGAGACCAAAATAGAACTTTTTGATCTTAATTCCACTCACTGTGTTTGGAGGACGAAGAATGATGAGTACCATCCCAAAAACACCATCCCTACTGTGAAGCATGGGGGTGGAAGCATCATGCTTTGGGGGTGTTTTTCTGCACATGGGACAGGACAACTGCACTGTATTAAGGAGAGGATGACCAGGGCCATGTAGTGAGAGATTTTGGGGAACAACCTCCTTCCCCTCAGTTAGAGCATTGAAGATGGGTCGTGGCTGGGTCTTCCAACAAGACCATGACCTGAAGCACACAGCCAGGAGATCCAAGGAGTGGTTCTGTAAGAAGCATATCAAGGTTCTGGAGTGGCCTAGCCAGTCTCCAGACCTAAACCCTATAGAAAATATTTGGAGGGAACTCAAACTCCACGTTTTTCAGCGACAGCCCATAAACCTGGCTGATCTAGAGAAGATCTGTGTGGAGGAATGGGACAAAATCTGCTGCAGTGTGAGCAGGAAACGTTTGACATCTGTAACTGCAAACAAAGGCTACTGTACCAAATATTAACATTGATTTTCACAGGTGTTCAAATACTTATTTGCAGCAGGAACACACAAATAAATTATTTTTAAAAAATCATACATTGTGATTTCCAGGTTATTTTTAGATTATGTCTCTCACAGTGGACATGCACCTAAGATGAACATTTCAGACCCCTCCATGATTTCTAAGTGGGAGAACTTGCAAAGTCGCAGGGTGTTCAAATACTTATTTTCCTCACTGCAGTAAAAAGCTTTCTTAGATGGAACCATTAACTAGAAGAGCCAAACAATAATGTAGACATTAATCAATCTAAACTGTGTAAAAATGTTTTCTGTTCTCATCTTTTATTGTTGAAGTTTGTTCTATGTTAACCATCAGCTGTTGCAGTCTTTTCCATCTGTTTTCTGTAAAGAGGGAGCTGAAAACACTTACAGAAAAGTCTTTGCTGTTGAGCTTCAGGTCATGCCACATGTTAACAAACAGCTTCAGGTTGAGATGATCCAACAGAAGATGAACAGAGACGTGTCTCTTCCTGCTCGCCTCCAGGAGATCACACAGCAGCTCCGGGTCGCTGAAGCTGTCCATCACTATGGCCAGGTTCTGAAAACATACACACAGGCAGCAGAACCATCTTATTTCAGCTGGGTTGACATCAGTTGGCCACACACACACCTTCAAACTCACCAGTTTAGCCTTAGTGAGGAACTGCCTGATTAAATCTTTTATGCCAGCTGATCCACTTTCAGACTGGAAAAACACCTGGACGCTGGGATTATCGGGCAAAGGATCCATCAGTTTCACATCTGGAGGGGCTTACAAAATAAAAGCAAATTATATTTTCCCAAACTGATCAACGTAGCCGGCAGATCATGGCTTCAGTGAAACATTTCCACCTGTGAGTACCTTTTGTGTCCCTCTGCTCCAGGGTGGAGTCTGTGCCGTCTGTCGGCCCTGCAGAGCAGGACGACTGACAGTCGGCAGACGGGTCATCAGGCTCACCTGGACCAGAGATCAAAGAGATTACATTCCTTGAAAGAATGCACGTCACTTGCTGCCTGTCATGAAACTAACTAAAACACTCCTGTTGAAACCGGCACACCACCACAGCAAACATCAGCTCAACATCTGGAAAAACAACTGAATTATGGTCAGTTTTGTGTTTCCAATGAGTAGCAATGTAAATTAATTAGTTAATTAATTAATTATTACCCGTGTTCCCGTCTCTCCCGTGTTCTAGGATGTAATTCTTCTCCATCTGTGACAGGAAATCCACTTCTCCCTCCGCCTTCAACGCCTCGTGGTAGCCCTCCAGGCCCTGGCTCAGCAGGCGGTCCACAGCGAGCCGGCTGCTCTCGTTGTGGCTCAGGTCCAAACTGGGCCCGCTGGTTAGATAATGAGAGGACGAGGGGATCCGGAGGTCCTGAACCCGTCGCCTCACCTTCCCCACAGGCCTGAACCTCCTGTACCACAGTACACGGTCGCCTCCATCCATGCTCGGTGAAGTCAAGGTACAAATAAAATGAAGAACTCGAGGCTTGAGAGGAGGATAACGTGTGTCAGGGTGATGTTCCAGCTCTGCGTGAGGGAGATCTACTGATTCACAAAGGCAGGTAGAGAGGGAGGTGGGTCTGGCCCTGCTCAGAGAAAAAGTGGTTTCCTCATGCATGATAAGATCTGACAGATGAGAACTGAGAAAGGTTCATTCTGTATGCTAAAGGTGAAACGTACACGAGTCTGTGCTTAGAAGTGAAAAGGCATGGTGCAAAGCTGATAACATGGACGTTAACAGATCTTTGATGCAGATCTTTGTTCTTCTATCAGCACAGAATTTGTGTTTGTTTAACTGGTGGCTGGCGTGTAGGTGGCCTCGGGCTGATGCAACGTAAACACAGGAAAAAGGAGTGGATGAAAAGAGATGGATGAGTGACAGGAATGAAGATGGCTGCCACTTCAGCTCCTGTCAGACAACAACTGGACGTTCTTTAACAAAGACGCACCTGGAGGGAAGGGCGGAGCAGAGGCACCATTATCTGATGGACACGATTACACATTCCAGTCTCTGTTTTTACTCGGTGTGAACAAAATGTGTTGACTCTTCTCAGTTTTTATATATTCAGTGTTTGTCTTTACGCTGAGTCAGCGTTCATGTCGTTATTTTCCCCGTTTCATTGTATTTTCTGCTTTTTACAAACTACATCTGCAGACTTTGTGCCTTTTAGCTGTTCGTAGCAACATCAATCATTTAATCATTCAGGTGGATGCTGAGGCTTTTGGATTCTGTAACTTTTAAAACGTGCAACTATATAAAAAAATCCCCACAATATTTCATTTTATATTAAAAATAGTTCTCTGAAATTGGCTGCAGAAAAAGGCTCCATTTTCTTCACTACTTTTAGCTTCTAGCAACTCTTTGCCATATTTTCTTAAATGTCCATTTTAGCTAGCCATTTGTTACTTTTTGCAACTAACATTTTGCTATTTTTAGCTTTTGAAATGGACAATTTTAGCTATTAGTGAGAATTATGCTACTTTTAGCTTCTATCAGCTTTTTGCTACTTTGAGCTTTTAGCTGGCCTTTTGCTAAATTAGCTAGTCATTGTCATTTAGCTGACCGTTTGCTACTGTTAGCCAGCAGCTTGTTATATTTCACCTTTAGCTTTACTTCTTTTAGCATTTAAATTCTAATTAAATATTTTTAGCTTTGAAATGACTAATTTGAGCTATTAAACATTTTGCTGATTTTAGCTAGTTTTGCTACTATAGGCTTTTAGGTATGATGCAATTCTTAGCTTTAACGGCTCAGTTTCAGCTTGTACAGTAAAATCTCAGCAGGTTTTTGCAGAACATTTAATTAGTCATCTTGGCTGATCTGCAGTACGGCACCACAACACAAACCGTTAGAGCTTCAGGGAGAGGTCAACTCTGTGTTTACTGCGAGTCCCTAAATACTCAGACAAGGTTCTCACCAACCGTTTCCTGGATCCTTCTTTATTTAATCCTAAACCCCAAAACGCTTCATCTGCTTTAAACAGATCAAATATCTGGTTTGCCTAAAGTTATTTAGGTTTATGTAGATTATCATTTTCATCAAAGACGTGGCAAATCCAAAAACTTAAAAATAGACTTTTTCTTGTTAGACATTTGGCTCCATCATCTAAAAGGCTTTTTGACTCAAACTGGGATTGTAAAACAGTTTAAATCAGCTGAATTTAGGAGCAGATTAGTCTCACCCCACCCCCTCCTGAAGGTCATCAGGGTCTGTGCCAGTCTGGTCCTCACGAGAAGAGTTTTGGTCACAGGCATGAAGGTGAGATGGTGTGAAACTAACTGGGAATCAGGTCCAGAAGTGGCTTTGAAGGTTTAAAAAGTTCAAATCTGAGACCTCCTCTGTTTAAAGTGTTTTCTATTTGACATAAATGCCCCCCCCCTTCTCAAACCATCTGTCTTCTTCTCCAACATCTGGACCTGTTGGTCCTCAGCAAAGGGTCCTTATCCTTGAGGTGTGGGTGGACCACTGAGTCTGGTCCTGAAGAGCTGCTCTCTGGTGCCGAGTCATGTGTCTGTGAACTAGTCTAGAGGTCTGAACGTTCCTGCAGACCTTCACTGCTCAGTTTGGAGGTCCTGGACCAGCCTCGGTCTAACAGACCTGTTGAAAATGCACCGGATGTGCAAACTGTCTTACCTCATTTACAAAACTGCATCAGAAGCAGAGAAACACCAAAGTCACACAATCCAAGAAAAACACGACAGGCTTTTAAAATGACTTTCATTCAAAGCAGAATTCAAAAGAGACAAATAAAACACAAAGTTAAGAACAAAAGTTCTTACAAGAGAATAAATAAATAAAAGCTAAAATACATTGAATTATGGTAACAAAACAACAAATTTGGAGGTGATGGTTCATCCTTGTGGTTACAGGAAAACAGTTTCATCCCTCAGCAGAATGAGTGAAGGGCTAACTTTAACCTCCTGGATGGAGGTTGTTCCTTCACTACGGAGGATCTTTGTAACTCACCTCCAGGTGGTCAGGAGAGAAAAGTCTACCAGAGGAACTTGGAGTTGTGAACTGTAGGCATCAAGAGGGCTAGAAAGTCCACATCCTGCACGTCTCCATGGAGCTCAGTTGGATGTTTATTTTGTGTTTGTGGCCATCTTCAAAAACCGCTGGGACTAAGATCTAAAAGTTCTGAGGTCATCGCACTCCTTCACTGGGTCTAATGAGCATCAGGACAGGAAGGAGCTCAAACATGATGACATAACAAAAAGCACTAATGGCACCCTCAGTGTTGTGCAGTTTGAGCCGGTCCACAGACTGTCAGGAGGAGGGCTGAGCTGGAATAAATAAATCTGTTTTAAAGGTTTGAAGAATTCACTCCTGTAGTTCAGGAGGACTGGATCCTGCAGGAACTCAAACCAGGAACCAGTTTCTGCTCTTCTAACTAAACAGGTAATTATAGGAAAACTGACAGCAGAGCTCAGCTTCAGGCTGCTGAGTCACTGTTTGTGATGCTGAGTCAGCTTTAGGTGACAAGCTGTTCCTGGATCAGACTGAAGACACAAGACAGCGTGTGGTCACTGGGAGACGGAGGACAGCGTGTGGTCACTGG